GAAGTGGATAGTAGAAAAGATAAGCTTTAAATATACATAAATAATACATAATTACAAATTGTGGTATATATTATCAAAGAAGAGGCTTCTAATAGTTAGTTGAGTCCCACACTAAATTTTCAGTTTTTAAAATTATTCATTCTTTCAATAGTATTTATGGAATCCTTATTGTGCAAAATGACAAGTGCTATGTGTACAGTAATGAAAAATATAACCTAGTCTCTGCCTTCTTGAAGTGGATAGTAGAAAAGATAAGCTTTAAATATACATAAATAATACATAATTACAAATTGTGGTATATATTATCAAAGAAGAGGCTTCTAATAGAGATAACAAGGGGATCTAATTTGGATTTGGGAGATCTTCCAGAAGACATTTACTCTGAGATCTGACAGATTAGATGTTAGCCTGGTGACAAGTTGGTGGAAAGAGCCTTCCAAGAGGATCATAGTACATTGCAAGTCTAAAGTGCAAAAGAGAGCAGCACTATTTAAGAGAACTTCCAGTTATAGAAATGTTCTATATCTGCGCTATCCAATGTGGTAGCTAGTAGCCAAATGTGAGTATTGAGCACTTGAAATGTGACTAGTGTAACTGAAAAACTGACATTTTTAATTTTAATTCGGTTACATTTAATTAGCTTGTGGCTGGTGGCTGCTATATTGGGACAGGCATACTTACAGCATTTGAGGAATTGACCGATGGCCAATGTAGTTATAGCATAGTGAGCCTGAGGGAAGAGTGGCGACAGATAGGCAGAGATGGACCATGGAGGGCTTTTAGGCAGTAGTAAGGAATTTGGACTTTATTTTATATGTAGCAGGAAACCATTGGAGGTGCTGGTGGTGGCTGCTGTTAAGCAGAGAAATGACATTTGATTTCTGTTTTTTTAATGATCTTACCTAGAGGGTAGCCTACCAAATGTTATAATTCAAAGTATTCTAAATTCATCACATGGGTAGTATCATAGATATTTAGAAGAACACATAAGTTCCTCAAGATAATTTTTTCAAAGATTGAAAATTTTCCAGGGTTCTGTCTGGTTAGAGAATTTTGTTATATCACTTAGAGAAAAGCAAGCCTTTCTATCTGTCTTTTCTTCACCTATTCTTTTATAAAAGTGCTGTTCCCAAAAGGGAGGGACTTTGAGCACTCAAAGGAGAATTTATATTACTGCATGGCCATTTTTAAAGAATCAATCTTTGTCTACCATTTTAGATAAAAAGAAAGAACCTCATGATGTAAGAAATTTTGACTATACTGCTCGAAGTTGGACTGGAAAATCTCCCAAACAATTTCTGATTGATTGGGTCAGGAAGAATCTTCCCAAGAGTCCAAATCCTTCCTTTGAAAAAGTTCCAGTAGGTAGATACTGGAAATGTAGGTATGTTTTTCTAGTTAACTCAATGAACTTTTAGAAAGATGTAAGATAAAAATCTTTTCATTTCCTATGAATTAAGTAGACATTTAGGAAGCACTCTAATTCTACATCTCAGTTTCGTAGTGCTTATGAATTATCTAATACATGGTTTCCTTGGAAATATTTAAATAATTAACATCAATTAAGTTCAATGTTAATGGAATTCTGAATTTTTTTTATCTGACTTCATCAATTTTATTTTTTAATTTTTTGCTTCTTTGTAGGGTAAGGGTAATCAAGTCTGAAGATGATATCCTGGTAGTATGTCCTACAATTTTAACAGAGGATGGCATGCAAGCTCAGCACCTGGGAGCTACTTTAGCCCTTTATCGTTTAGTGAAAGGGCAGGTAAGACTTTTTAGGTCTAAGTGCTTCAAAAATCATTTGTGGAGTAATGAGTGTACTATGTTTTGTTGACATAAAACTGTATCTGTATGTGGAAGGTAGTATTTAGTTATGGCCTTCTGTGCCGATTTTCTGTTTACTGACTGTTTTCTTCTGATTAATCTTCATTTCTGATTATTCATAATTTGGCTTCCTTTCAACCCTAAACACAGCTCACTCTTTCTCTCCTTAGACCAAAAGTCTGAAAGAGACAATACAATTGATTCAACTTTTTGGACTATACTAATTTACAGATTAAAAATAGTCGTGCTGGCTGGGCGTGGTGGCTCACGCCTGTAATCCTAGCTCTCTGGGAGGCCGAGGCGGGCGGATTATTTGAGCTCAGGAGTTCGAAACCAGCCTGAGCAAGAGCAAGACCCCGTCTCTGCTGAAAATTGGAAAGAAATTAATTGGACAACTAAAAATATATAGAAAAAATTAGCCGGGCATGGTGGCGCATGCCTGT